AAAAGTTTCTTTGATTTTTCTCATCGTAGATTGATGATTGTTGTGCTGTTTTTGTGATTTTACCATGATCAGACGTGTTTCACCTCAATTGCCCACGTTAATGTTCTTGTTTTTCAGTCTGGCAAAAGTTCGTACTTGAAACAAATAGCCTACATTCAAATATTGGCTCAGATCGGGGCGTTGGTTCCTGCAGATTCTGCCGTCTTGCCAATTGTGGATCGTTTGTTTTATCACACCTGTGGAGAGGACGACTTGAATTCAAATGAATCAAGCTTTACAAAAGATGTTAGTACAGTCTCCTTTATACAGCATTCCTTAGGCGATTGTCACAGTTGTTCCCCATTCAATTAATTTTTGTACAAATATGTGAGATAACTGCTATCGCTTATCCGTAATGGTCTTTAAAGACGCATGTCTACAAAACCAAAGGAAAGTTTCGTAGATTGAATTCACCGATTAACAATTGAAAACCGCTTCGTTATTTTCCTGGTCAAATAACCTGGATGACACTGTTGTGGTTTTGATGTTTTTCTAGGATCTCGTTGACGTAACACCGCAAAATTGGTGTACGTCTAACTAAAGACATCATCGGTACCCATCAGTGTTCCTTGTGGTGATGTATATTTTCTCCCCATTCAGTATTGATTGCCACTGGGGAGACCGTATTCCTAACCGACTCAATGGTTTTGCTTCTCACCGGGGTTCATTCGTTGCAGAGATGGGGTAGAGTACATGGTTATAACATGGTTATAAAACGAAAACAAGTTTTCACACCTGTCACCATTACGAATGTTTTCTATGAAATTATTGTTGGAGAGCCGAAAGAAGCTTTATTTTATTCAAAAAGGACATTATTGATGATAATTCTCCGCACTGTTTTCTTTACACAGCTAGCCTTTGTTCTGCGTATTCTGACACGATACAAGCACAGTTTTTCGAACCGTTCTAACCACCCAGAAACCGTAAATCTTGATTTGATCAATTACTTCAAGTGCCAGAGGGCGGATGTTCTTCCTTTTCACATAGCAGTTTTCCGACCGATAACTAACTGCCCATTCGTGTTCATTCCAAATTAGAAATGGTGCTGATACCATATGCTTTCCATTTGCAAGTGGAAATTAACTAAAATGTGAATAGAATGTGCTCATGTGAATTGATGTCAAATGAATTACGTACGTGAGATTCAGGTCGTTTTATTGCATCTCGTTGTACTTTGAGAATAGCAAGCACACAACGGTAATTAGATCGATTAGTGAGTAAATTTCCCGCTGGTATAGAGTTCTCACATCCTAACAAAGGTTCACCTGCCTCACTCTCAAACTGTGAAAGTCTGCCTTCAACGAAAAACATTTCTATAGGTCCCTGTGTTCATCATTCATACTTTGATATAAAAATCACTAGAGCTTTCTCCGGGACCTCAGCACGTGTACAACATTGAATAGAGATTATGTTTTCTATTGAGATTCGCTGAAATTTCTTGATTTCTATCATAGATTTTGCCCACTTGCTCCTAATTTTACTTAAATCTATTGAACGCTTCATCTTTTCTGGAGACAACAACGTGGTGTCCGACTGGACACCTGTGATGGTTTGTGTTGTCAGCTCCGTTCTTACACATGATGGCAAACCAATCTCACATCTGCACAGATTACCCGGTTGTACGGATACGAATTTAATTCAGCCGTGCTTTTGAATGCTAGCCAGGCTTGTAATCAATGCAAAGTTCCTGATTATCTGTGGTGATCCTACCTAGCCTAAGGGATAACGCCAACCACGGAGCGGCGCGTCACAGTTTCTGGACAACTGCAGTGAGTCCACCTTCCCAGATGACGCCAGCAAAGCGCCTATGCGTTACCTCTTCTAGACATCGAACCACTGACCGATCGTACAGACTAATCAGAATTCCTGCGGTTCAGACCGAAGCTATATGACATCAATAATACGAGCACGGAATTGATGGATACCTGAATAACCAACAGACTTCATTTGTACATGCTATTTAATCTCTTTGATTTTTTTCAATAGAGGAACTGCTACTTCTGTGACCTTTTCCTTGCGCCTAGGTGACGGACGATACCAGCGTGCAAGTGCCAGTGCGATTCAGTGTTCCCGTTGTGGCCATAATTCGTGATCTGTGCCTACTTCAACTACCACACTATCATAACAACTGTAGTATGAGTGTCTTCATTACTGAACCGGTCGGAGTTTCGCTTCCTGTGCAGAACGATCTGAAACAAATGGTTATTAATTTTGCCTTCGTTAGAACGTTCGTTTTTGTCATACATCTTAGAAGCGTAGGCAGAACCACGAAAATGTACACAATGAAGCACTGAATTTATTATCACAACGGATTCACAGAGGTTCGATGCGGCTCGCGGAAGGTGCCACAAAATTATGGATGACAGACCAGTTGAAATATCAGTTTTGTTTGAGAAATCGAGTCACCTCAGGTGTGTGCGATCAGAACGCCCTCACCTAACAGGATCAAAAGGATTTCAATTATTTATTAGGGACATTGGCTCACTCCCTCTGGAACTAAACTAACTGAACAACTGGGGATACTAACGCTGCTGTGGAGCAATGTATGCAACACCCTTTAAACGTTGAAACTCTGTTTGATACGAGATCAGCAGACAACAAAACTTAGCACGAGAATTTTGTAATGCTATTTCAGGACGGATTCAGGTGGTGTACAAAGATGAATACGGATCTGTTTCCCTTTTGACGTCAAGCCGATCTTCCGATCAAGATGTACGGTTTCACATACTGCATACCTGGTGATCAAACAAAATCTCGATCGAATGCAGAAAGGTTGAGTTCACGCACCAGTTACCTAATCTGCATGACCGCATAGTGAGGTACTAGTTTGTGCTGACTTCTCACGAGGACTTATTGCTGCCTAGTACCTATCGGACTCACCCTTAGATCGAGATATCGAACTCCTCATGAGAGCTTTTGACGAATAACTCACATTGTGGGTTGTTTCAGTTTACCAGCCTTCCACTCGACGTGAAGACTGCTCTTGCATTCTTCCAACAGATAATGAATACTATGTTGACAAATATTAAGGAAGCTGACACCTACTTGGATGAAAGTCGTCACTAGTATCACTCTAGATGGTCTACCACATCTCCTGGAATCTTTATTCACGCAGCTCCAGGAATACGGATAACACCCAAGCCTTGATAAACGTAACTTTTTCATGTTCTCAGTTCAATAACTGGGTTTAATCGTCAGCAGGCATAGCCGCCGTCCCGACCTAATCAGCGTTGACGTAATACAATACATGTGCTCATGAAGAGACCTCACCTATATGCGAACATTTTTTTAGTCTAATGTGCCATTACGAATTTTTCCCGCCAGACTTACACTGACTTGACCAGCCCATAAACACGTTACCGAAAGGAGTAAGATGGATATGGTCGGCGTAAGGACAGTGTAGATTTCGAACCCCTCATAGATTTCAATTGGAACCTGCTAGTAGCGATTACATCAGATGCCCCCAACCGTGAAATGGATCAGTTATATCTCGTTTTCCTAGATGCTTCAGAGAAAGCAATTTTTAACATCGCCATACCTCCTACACCTATGTAAGAGAACTTGTGAAGGCATTTAAAGGTGATCATAGTCATAAGATGCTGCGAAAGCGTCAAATTTCTGTAATCAGACCAAAAACCGCTTTGCACAGTTCTAATCAAAGAAAGATTTTCCAGTGTGTTCAGCAAAGAAATTGCAAGGCTTGACAACCATACTCCTCGAATACGACTTTGGTAACAAATACCTACCCACTTCCAACATCGGTCAAGAAGATCAATATATGTTACAAGGAGTTTGAGGACGGTCTCAACACGTCACTTGTAGTGAAATCCGAAGTGTTTGTGTTATTTCTAGATATCGTACGTGATGCTTCAGTCATTATTGAATATATTCGCCGAGCTACGCAACGCAATCCGGGGTTGAGAAAATTCACACAAGTTCAACAGACGCAATTTCTGTCAACGGGTTTCGACAAACAGACGATTCGAGGTGCGCATATATGCACTGTCCGTCCGTTGGCTGAGCAAGTCTTTATGCCCAAGTTCCCGCAATCGAAGGTGCTGACTCAATCTCGCAATGAACACCCGGAAATCAACCACATGAGAACCCAGACGGTAAGCAATTTACTGCACCCGCTTTCCCAGAGTTATTTGATCATACCGGCTTTCTAAATGTACGGACTTCACCATATCACCCAAAATCGAACAAACGGGAGCTACTGACGGTTATTGAGCGGTAGAAAACAGAGGGGATTCTGGATATCTCGTTGTTTCATCAACGATCACGCTAGAAACCGGTTTGTTTGTGGTGATTTTGCCCTCCTGGCTAACGCCAGCCACTGGGAGACACGTTTCAGTTTCTAGATAACGAACCAAAAGCCAGTTAGAAGCCGTGTGTCCTCGGGAATACAAGAGGGTTATTGGAGAAGACCAGTTTAGCCCATGACGTTCCTCTGTGCCTATTATTTAATCTCATTGATTTCCCTCAATAAACCAACCGCTTCTTCTCTGACCTCCCCGCTCTCGCGGGCGGAAGATTCCAGCACACGATTGCCCTTGTGGTTTTTCGGGCTTCATTTGTGACTTTGATTCGTGATCAATGAATCGTGCCTATCCCGATTGCTACAATTTGATGTCACACACTGAAACTTCAAGCTATTGAGCAATTTAACCTGCGCCTTGGTTCGTCCGAAATTCAGGAATGGGTGGAGCCGCTCAAACTGTGGTGCAGCATTTGCAGGAGTGGGACACGAAGACAACGGTCACTATTTCTCTTTGTGGGTGGTCGAAACCTGTGTTCTCTACTGATGAACCTTGCATTTCCTGAGGGTCTCGCAAAACTTCCATGTGATTCCTTGAAGCGTCTTGTACTCGACTACTTGCTGACCACCGAGTTCAGGCACACGAAAAGCAAAACTCAGTTCGTTATTACATGCTTAAACAATATCTTGTCGCAATTTCACTCCCCAGATGAACAAGCAGGCGACATTTCGTAATTATTGGTAATTGTCTAGAGGACCAGTTGTGTGACAGTCTCGCGGTCGGCATTGACGACTTGACACTTCGGCGGAAATTGTTTGAGAAGAAAGAACTGACGTTCCCAGAGGTGCGCAAGATCTGTGAACAACATAATAATATGCGATGGAAATGTTTGTGATAACCAACAAAGAGCACTGGACAGCTGTTTCATCTTGTTTAGGACTCGTCAGCAGTGCGTACTTTTGTGTCCCTGTCAGGACTCGAACCGCGATCAGTCGGGTCGGGACTTCAAACCCTTATCCCTGAGCTACACGGCCGATGGTCACTACCTTGTGC